GTTCTACCAATAGGCCTTCAAGGGTCACAAATCTAAATTGGGTCAGTATACAGTTCTAGCTAAACCATTAGAAATCAGGTCAGGAAAATATGTACAGTTTATTAATGCCTACTCTTTTTAATAGACTTTGCTGTCTGACAGTTCAAATAGACCTTAATGTACAAATGTATATGTTTTTTGGTTGACAAAAAGGTTTAATTTAAACAAATGTGAAGTGTCGCCAATGTTACTTGATTTTGTCGCCTGAAAAAAGAAAAATGTTAATCCCAATATACACATGGGTCGTAAGCATTTACAAATCATTTTCGCTGCAATTTAAGAATAAGTATTTCAGATGTAAAGAGTTATGTTGATTGAGCACTAATGAAGATGAAAACAGGGCAGAGCAAATTACAACTGAAGAGCAGATGGTTTACTACTTACAATTAATAACATGCCGATCTGAATATCTTTTCATTCAAAGAGCTCTGTATATGATATAATAAGAACCGTTGGATCTCTTCAGAAACATAAGTGGTGTTTTAAACATTGTTTGATTTGAGGGTTTTATCTAAGTTTGAAGTGGATATAAACCTCTTACGTTAGGCAAATGTCGCACTCGAGTTTTGCATGGTTTCAAGCACACTCTCCAATTATATCAAGAAGTTTATATTTACTTGGAAAGGGTGTCATAGGAGGTTGTTTGTTAAGCTGTTTGCCTTGGACGAGGACATGCAGATCTCTTTTTCTGTTTGAATCGAAGACGAGAAACCTTTGTCATTATTTGCGTCATGTGGCACCACTTGAAAGAAGCGATTAATTTAGAAATGCAATATTTCTAAGTTGGCGAGATTGATATCTGGGTCGGAAAAAATTCCCTTCGAGAGTTCTGTATGCTCATCTATCAAATGTAAAGTGGACGTTTATAAGACAAATACCTTGTTGACAATGTCATCTCGCCGATAGTATTAATGATATTGAATTTCTATCGTGGTGAGAAGTTTTATGTACATATCGTGCAGATCTGAAGCACGGAAAAATATAATGTTGCATTCTGGGATTAAAATTTCATCTATTTGAAAGAACAAAGTATTGATTTGAGAATTTTTTTTAGGTTTTGTATCATGAGAACAATTTTCTTGAAGATTAAATTAAAGATTACATACTTTCATTTTTTATAAAGCTGTACTTCTACACAATATTTTAAATAGAAATGGTGATTAATTTTCTTTTTTTTACTTATTTTTTTGAATATTTGAGTGAAAATGTATGATGAATCAAATTGTTTATGAATTCTTAAATATTTTCACCCACCTGCATGATTATAGAATATTTCATCTAGGAAATGGAGGTTAGAAAAGTTTTTTTTTTATTAAATGATGAATTTGTATGTATTAGAATGCCTTTCACATAAATTTAATTAGAATTGAAAAGAAACAAGCTTAACATTGATTGAATGTTTTGTCAGAAGGTCAAACGATAAAACATTGATAACAAAAAACACTTTAATTTATACTCAAGGCATGATGTTTGAATGAGCGAAAGGTGATAAAGTCAACCATATCTTATCATGTATGTTGAACAAAGATGTATCGAGAATTAATGAGACATGCTTTGACAATGTCAGGGATATATAATATGCATTAAAGATGCAATATTGATTGTTTTGATTTTAAGTCCTGCATGCAAAGTGGAGTTATGAAAGTCATTACGTGGAGTTATTTCGCAAATTAATTGAATAAAATCTGAAAGTCTTGACTTGTTGGTAGAGAAATTGAATAAAAGAATGGAAGAGACATTATATTGACCATTTTGTTAAGAAAAAGAAAAATAATTGATAGATGGTTAATTGCCTGTTTTTCTTCATAATTAGCAGGTTAATGATCGTTACCTAGGCCTGTTTCTGTGGACAAATAAGAGACTGTCACTGTGCTAGCTTGCAGTCTGTATATGGCTTATATAGAAAATGTGCAAAATTGTCTAATTATCTTATAAAGTATTGACTGTTTGCCTATAATTCCTACCAGGTGTCTCTGCTCAAATAATTATGATGCCTTTTAGATGAGTGTAGATTGACATCTGGAAATTAGCCTCAAAATTGAAAAGAAATAGGATTGACTTGATAAAAATAGTACAGGAAATAGGCAAATAAAGATATGTTTAAATATGAGTGGCATATTTACGCAAAGTAAACCACTTTTTCTAAATATCAGTGTAATCACCATTTATTCTTTTCAAAAGCTTGCATCCAAGTTACTTGAATTTTATCGCAGGATTCACTCCCCTTATAGAAATTGATGGGAAAAAAAAGTATGCAATCATGCAGGAGTTCACAATACAAACGTAACCGTTAAATTTCATTTGCATAGATAATAATTGTTATTGATACATATATTTTCAAATTTAACGCCCTAAAGTAATTTCCGCTTACCCCCAGGCCAATTGATTTAGTAAACAACAACGGTGTACAAGGCGACAACTTGGGCATATAAAATTAGATGTATTACCATATAAACATGAAAATTGTTGCATTGTGCTGCTTAAACGATATGGAAGTTTGACACTTTATTGCATGACGACCCAAATAATATATTCCTGAAAGACAGGAACTTCAATTATATGCGGCAGTTTATGATTGATATAAAATGTGGTGACAATGTTTTATGTTAATTACTGCCCTTTAATATTCTCATTTTTCTACTTTTGAAGTGTTTTTATAATTTGATTAAAGGATCTAAGAGAATGATTGGCCGATTCATTGTAATTGGTCTGTTCTGTCATAATACCAATGTAATTTGTCATATTTGAAATTGAAAGGACAATTATTTATCTCCGTCCATTAGTGAGTTTGAAAACTTGCATGCCAAATTGTATAACATGACAAAGTGATGTTTAATATTATAGAATTTATTTTCTATGTTGGATTTATCACTTTCTACCAATTGATAATAATATATATTCATTTTGTGGAATAGTGAAAATGTTTTTTTTTTCGTTTCCCGTCTCAAAATTTATGACACGTTGACTCTATCAGTCAATTTTTTTGCTACATCGAGGTATGCTGATTGGAAAGTGTGTGCTGATGCAATGTAAGAAAGTAACTGAATTGAGGTTATAATATATTCTAAGCATGGAGTGAGTTCAGGATTGTACAATAGAATGGATTTAAATTCATGTCATACATCTAAAAAGTGTGGACAATCGCTGCAGTGTGGATTTAGTTTTGCGAACCTTTTGAGAAGAATGGTATGTAAGTCGTGAAAGTTTTGTTAAAATGTTGCTTTTATTGTGTGCATAGTAATTTACGTTTTGATTCTAAAAAGACAGTTTTTGCAATAATTTTATACACTTTCCTCTTGAAGGGGCTATATTTTTATAAATTTTAGAAGATATGAATTAGAATCAATGATATTTATATTATATTACAAGTTTTTGTCTTTTTTTTAATGCATCTTAGCAAAATTTTTCATGGATATTTTTTGCCTTTTCATATATTGGAATGGGAAGTCGTGTATGAGATAGGGGAGACAGATACTAACGGCCAAGAACTTACTGGCCTTTTTGAAACCCATTTAGAAGAATGAAATAAAAAAAGATATTGCCTCTTTTTTATTATTTTTCATAACATGTTCTTTGAAACCTTTTATTTTTGGCTTTATTTAAAATATATATTTCAGTATAAAAGCAAAAATTTTGAAAACAAACTTATTTAAACTTTAATTATAACTGAAAGTTTGATTGAGAAAAAATGTTCTTCGTAAGATATAAATTTGTCTGTAAGAAAACAATTAAAAGACACTTCTTTGAAGTTTTAAAGTTTCTACATTTAATAGTTCTCTGACATCAAGGTAAACGAATTTAACAACAAAAAATGAGTAATGAGGAAAATTTACTGTTAAAAAATATGTACTCTAGGTTATTTTGCTTTCAAAGTATAATTAACACATATTTTTATCAAATAAAACAACAACGAAATTGATGACCAATTAAATAGACCAATTTATCATGGAATGGACAATTAATCTCTTGATACATTGTTCAACATGGAGTATAACAATGGGCCGATTATGTAAACTTGACACATTCTTCTTTTTGTCAAAGGAAGATTCAGGTAGAAAAAAAATAGTATGATTGAAAATTATTTAGTGCTATCGGAGAAATGATCTTTACATGTTTAGTCCGTGTCATCAACCATCAGCCGAGTCGTGCATAGAATCCCTTCAAATGGCTTGATCCATAAACCCCAGTGGCGTCATAAATTTTAATGAAGGTATTATTAAAATCTATTTATGAAAATTTATACAGTTCCTGGCCTTTGTGTCAATGGTTGTCTCTTTCATGTGAAATTAACAACAGTTGACAGAGGTGTAGGGGGACCTCTGTAAGTCTACAAATTAATTATTTAATGCCTAATTAAAATCGGCTAATTACATACTTGTGGCTTTGGATAGGTGCCATGCTTCCTTTAGAATAATGGAAAGTGACATGGTTCAGCAGGTTTTTTCTTAGAGGATCTAAAAAAACATGGAATGATTTCTTAAAGGGTTTTCTAAAGAGTGTTTAATAGACTGATTTGGAATGGGAGTTTTAAAATGAAACCCATGATGTTTATTTAACAGAATTAAGCTTGTGTGGAAATGTATATTTATATGAAATGGATTATATAAAAACAATATTTTAATAGTGGAATATAAAATGATAATAATATTAAAATTTCAGTGCCCTGTATGAAGGCCACTTAGGAAATAACTTGTAGAAGTATATATTTATTTATAATTGTACATTTCGGTCAGCCTCAGTTTATGAGATAAAGTATGTACAAATTAGTCCACTAAACTTTGATGTTTACAATTGAGTATATTTAATTCTCGCTCAGCTGGCAGACTTGACATTTCATGAAAAAAAATTAAAATCATGCTTTTATAAATATATATATATTTATTGTGCATTATGATTATTTGATGATTAAAGTATATTAGTTATAAATTCCTTTCCAAAAATAGTTTTATTTGATTTTTCAGGCATCGGATGCAAGCTCAGATATATTTTCCATAAGTCATAATCGTAAGTACTTTAATGTATTTCTTATATATATGGGTTTACCTCACTGTTAATTTAATATATTATTACGAACAGTATTACAGAACCTCAAAATTACCAGGATTTTATACTTTTATGAAATATTTCCATATAGTTCTTCTTTTTATGTCCTGCCTTTCATTATTCTCATCTTGTATCAGGTTAAAGTTTTGGTTCAATATAAATAAGAAGATGTGGTATGAGTGCCAATGAGACAACTCAGATCTCCATCCAAGTCACAATGTATAAAAAGTTAACAATTATAGGTCAAAGTACGGCCAAGTTGGTTTATCATGAAGTTGTGGTCAAATCAACCTTCAAAGCTTAGTGTGCATGGCCATTATGCTTTGAACTTTTTAGAATATATATGCCAAATTAGGATTTTGACCCATATTTCGGGGTTCACTGATCATGGAAATGTGATAGTGTGAGCACGACATGGTGTCCTCTGGACCCTCATTCTTATTTAGAATTAATCATGAAACAATTACAAATAGTACTAACAAGGTATAAAAGTGATCTAGTATGTTATATTATATTCATTGTTCTGCACTCATTGACTGGATTTACAATCAACTTTCAGAGGAAATTTCCATAAAACTTTAATATTTACAAATTATTATTATGTGTGGGATAACAATTGTTATAAGTTTTGTAGTTCACTCCAAACATAAAATTAGGTCCACAATGAAAAAAAATTATTTTCTTCTATGTTATTCATCAAACCATTGATATTATGAACCAGTGATATAAAAAGTTTTTATAGACTAAGAAAATGTATGCATATGTGCAAACAAAGAAAAGTACAACCAGAGTATAGTCTCAATCAGTGTTCTGAGACAAGCAAGATCCTCATATCTATTGATAGTTGTAGACGGCTTTTGAATATTTTTATGAGAATACTCAAGACTATTTAACAGAAAATTGTTTGAAGTACTTTGACAAAGACATCATTTGTTAATCAAATGTAGAGCCCCAGTTGTAGAGCCCCAGTTTAGTTCATTATTCATGTACTTTATGCTCTTTTCACACTTTCAAGGTAATGCACAACTTTTAGCAGACTTAAAACACTCAAAAGATCTGCTAACAGCTGTTTCATATCTCTTTTCACTGATGTTTGGTGTCAGTAAGGTTAATACCTAAATGTTCTTAATGGCTACCATTATAATTTATGGCCAAAAAGACATTCCATAAATATGAAATTTATGGCAATTCATCTGCTGAAATGAATTGTAATAGATGTTATTTTATTCTTTGCTTAAATCATGTGGAAAAATTGAAATGATTGAAAAAGAGAGTTTAATTTCACTTAATTTATTCCTTGAAAATTGCTCAGACAGCATATACAAGTATCAAAGAAAATTTCCTCAAGCAGTTGAATAAAAGTTTTAACTTTGATGTACATCATATAAATTCTCCACTTGAATTGATGTACCATATATAAATTTGCCACTTAAGCTGTGAATTGCCTTTGGCAGATGTTTTTTTGTAGGTGCTAAGTCCCAATAAAAAAGGCTTTTAGATAAATTATTTATCTGATGTTTTTACTCTTAGCAGCAGAAAAATTAGACCAAAAAAAAAAAAAAAAAGCTCGTCAGTTTTTATGACTCAAGAAAACACATGCATTATTAAGTCATCTAACAGATGGAATACAGTATTTGTGTAAAGCTTTTTGATGATGCATAAGTGGTCTGTTAAATGTTTTAACAAGTTTCTGTTGTGAGGGTCAAGTGGTTAGGTCTAGTTACTACAGTTTGGTACCCTGTAAAAGCATGTACCTAATAAAGAAAAAGAAAATTAGGAACACAGACAAGCATTTACTTAATCAAACAAAAAAAGAAAATTGCTACATAAAATATGAAGAGCACTTGTATATACAAATGCATGGTTTTAAGCACCTTTTTGTGATGTAACTTTGGAAATAAATTATGACAACTGCAGAGCAGATGTGACTCTTTCATTGTTGCCAGGTTTTGGTGTATATTTTGTACCAAGTTTTTCTTATGCAGGGGAATTAAGTTTAAAATTTGGTATATTGTTAGATGGTTAGTAAATCATGATACTGAATTAATGCTCCCATTTGAATTCATCTCATCCAGGTTTATCTTTGTTTATCTTAAGTATTATGATATCCAACATAGTGAAAAATAAGAATTCAAACTACCTCCACAGGATAGCTTCAATGTTGACAGACATAACTTAAATGACATCTGCAGTTTGAATGTTGACAGATTTACCTTGAACACCATTTGCAAGGTCAAGAAACAAAATTGTAACTGGAAGATCCATATTTAAAGATCAAAATGGAAAAAACTCTGTCCTGTTTTAAAAAGAAGTAATGCGGTTGATTTATCTAAAACACTTTTATCATTTGGTTATATATTTAAAAACTTTCTTCTTTGGTTTGTTTGACAAACATCTTTCAATTCAAATTTAAAAATCTGTTCAATATTACTTATATTTTTGTTACAGGAGAATGTGTTTTACCTTTAACTAAAGCAACATGCAGCAGCTCATTTTCTACCACTGTTACAACCTCTTCAACAAGTAATCTTATCATCACGGCAACAAATACTCTGGCTTCCACGACAGCAACAACCACATCACCGACAACAACAACTTGTGCTCTGTCCACATCCTCCGTCATTACTGAAAGTACTAAAACCACTTGTTCAATAACTTCACCTGCAGTAACTGCTACAACTTCTGTGATAACCAATGGACCAAGTGTTACAGCTCCCTCCTTAAAAAGGAAAACTTTGTCCCCATTAAATAGAGTGTCACCAACAACAGCCAAACCGGCTGTTGTGGCCAGGTCATCGTCCGCATCATCAACACCATTACCATTGTCAGCGTCTAAACAGTCACCTTTCCCGAGGGATCAGCGGAAGGTTTCACCATCACCACGTGTCACACCGAAGAGGGAAGATTTCAGGGAGAAGGAACACCATAGCAACTCATTTCCAAAACCTTGGCCAGGGTAAGTATTTTTTGTCACAAACAGATTGATTAGGGTTGGTTTTCTTTTGTTGTAAGATAGCTGTTGATGTTTGTCCTTATTTTTATTTGTCCTTTTATTTATATTTTCAAAGGGACAGTTACCCAACTAGATTAATAGGGATTGATATATATATATTAGACAGCTCCAGTTTGAATATAATAGGATTGTTTACATATTTCCAGTTATAATTTAGAACTAAGCTTTTCTATTTGAAACATGCATTGGAAAAGAGAGGGAAAAGATACCAAAGGGACACGGAAAGGTGAAATGGAAAGGTGAAATTAAATCGTCAACTTTGTCACACAAAAATAACTCTTTATCCTGGTAATCAATAGTCTTGATTTATTACAATGCATAAGAACTCCCACTAATATGACATTTATGTATGATTGTTGTATTTCTATATTGAGATTTTATTCATTATTTATATCAAATTTAAAATTAGATTTGCATACTAGTATTTAAAATTTAACTTCCTGGCACTGTTTGGTATTTTAATATCCACTTGACCTCAGACCCACTAAGGATGTATGGGATATCCCATATTGAAGTAGATTAGATTACAGAGAAAAGCGTGATAGTTGAAAGAGAACCCTCTGTCAGTTTTCCGTTTATCATGAGTTTGATGTTTGTCTGGTCTTGGGGAAAGAGAAATGTAAACCTCCATCTTTATGGAGTTGAATGATCTTTTAGGAAAATGATTTTTGATAGGAAGATTTGAACACCACTGAACTCATCCTTTCAGAATTGAATGCATTCTGGGTAATATTATCCAAAGTGTACAATCCTGGATATGTTTGAAATATTTGCCGCTGGACATGAAGAAAATAATCAATTACCTAATCAAAAAGGTGCCTCGGTGGCCGAGTGGTCTAAGTAGTCGAACTACTGTACCACTAACCTGTCAACACTGAGGTTGTGAGTTCGAATCCCGCACATGCCAGGTGCGCTCGACTCCAATCTTAATTGACTAGGATTGTCAGTTTTCCTACCGGGGAGGTCGGTGGTTCTCTCCGTCCACTCCGGCTTCCTCCACCAATAAAAACTGACCGCCAATAGCACAATAGTGTTGAAAGCGGAATTAAACAGCAGTCAATCAATTAATCAACCTAATCAAAAATATAAACCAAATGGTGTGATTGGTTATTATCGTCGTAAACAATTGATGTAACATTATTTTTACTTTAGTGTAAGAATAATGAAATTGCTTTTTAACGCTTAATCCAATGGCAAATTGTTGATAGCTTTTCCTCGCTGATTTGAAAGCTCTTATAGTTACATTATAATATATATTATATCTACTTGAATAAAAATTGGTATTTAAAGCAATACTTTCACAGTAGATAAACATAATGCCTTAATATGTTTTATGATGATTGCTTGTTTTATGGCAAATACTTTTGTAGACATCTTACTATTTTTCATGATGCACCCCATCATATTTATTGCTCTCTTAAGAAAGATTTAATGCAGTCTGATGGAACAAAGCACATGGTACATGTATGGTTACGTCATTAGCTTTGGGTTCAAGTCCTGTCTAAGTATTATAGATCTTTCCACAAATTACATGTAATCAAGGCTCTTTAGTCCAATCTTACTGTCACATTTGATTAGTTTGTATAACAAACGTAAAATCTCGTGGGCTATTACTATGTTTGTGAAAGAAAATGACTACGTGTTGAAAAATAATTAAACACAATTGCCGAAATTAACTCTAGATTCGATTTCATAGCAAGATAATGCTACAAGTGCTCTTTGCTTGTACGTCATTGATGGGAAATGGGAAATCTTTATAGAGGGATATAGGAGGTGAAATGTTTTCCGTGAAGTGCCCACTTACCTACAAACTCGTCATAATTTCAAGAGATCTCAAGTGTATCTTTATTCGTACCCTATAAAATGGCCCTTGAAACATAGATTTCACTTGAGTTAGAAGTGATCTGAACTGTTCCGACAGATTTTATAATTAGGCGGTAACTGGTAATTTACACAAACTATGTGTTTCATTTCGTTGATAAGTTTCATCATTAGATAGTTAATGACTATCTAAAGATGTTAGCTAGCTGTTTGATGTATCAAGTGGAAAAAGTTACAAAATAATTGTTACGAGAAAAGATGACACGCTGTTACACAATTGCACTACAGATCCAATAAATTGGGCTAAAAACAGAACACAATGCTTATTTTTGAAACATTTACAATGTTTTACTAGGAAAGTACTCCTGTATAATTGGTGCTTTATGTAATACATGTATACTGTTTCATAATTAGTCCATGGCAAGTGCAAAAAGTTCATCCAATATATATTAATATAAATATCATTTCGTTTTTTTTTGCCCCCACCTTAGGCGACTGGGGCATTAAGTGTTACTCTTGACCATCCATCTTTCCATCCCTCTGTCCGTCCCATTTTCGTTTGTTTGTAGCTTGAGCGTGTGCATTCATGTCCTCAGACACATTCTTCTTTTATTTTGGGAAAATGTTTAAGCTATCTTTTAGCTGCAAACAAAAACACAGATTTTATTACAGCAACAAATCTATACCTCAAGATGGTTGAATTTATGATTTTCAACATGAGAGGTGAAATCTCAAATTTTAATCAGAAGCGGAAAAATATTGTAACTTAACTAGCAAAGAGAAAAACTTGACTCAACAAATATGTTTTCCACATTTTTACCAAGAACATGCCATCCAATCTGCTACCAATCTCATTACCAGAACTTTTGGTTTATTTTTTTAGAGATTGAATTAAACCACCTGTACTTTTGATTTTTTTAAACACATGGCTGAGTGCTGTACAAAGGGGTCCACCAATTGTAGAAAAAGTTTTATGCTTTAGACTGTCATTTATCAGTTCATCAACTTCCTAAGTAAGAATATGGATTTCTTTCCATTTATAGCCAAATGAATTACAATTAACTTTAGAATAAGTACTGTTCAAACATGTAGAATCAAAATGGGAAGTGTTACTAAAGTTTAATAACTTTGCTCCTCTTTTTCAGAAATAATACACCTGGACATTTGTTTGGACCACAGGTTTCATTGTCCCCTGGACCATCATATCATTCCGGCTACCCCCAACAACCCAACCACAATCCAGGGTTGTCCCACAGTATGTTTGCATCCCCCCTGCCACCTGGCCCCTCATCAAACCTAGGAGCAGGGGCAGCACAATTGAGTTCACCCACAGATTCCATGAACGTTGCAGGTAAGTGTTTTGGATTAGAGGCTTTAGATCAGAAACATTTCAGGTAAGTATTTTGGATGAGAGGCTACAAATGTCTCAATAAATCAAAAGTTTATTTCATTAAAATCAGATTGCAAATTTAAGTACATGTACATGTTCACACCTAGACATTGTACCTGAAATTTGGAACAGGTATTATTTTCTATCACAGAATAAAAATTACCACAATTACCAGAACAGCGGGAGGTATATCAAAGAAAATTCAAGACAGTGACATTAGAAAAACAAACATACATTTATTTAAAACATGTGGAATTGATCATAGACAAAACAGACAGGTGTCTTGGTTTGTTAGATCAAAGGCAAAAAACACAAAGTGATAGTTGATTTGTTTCCAGAAACTTTCAAACAAAGCAAAAACTGTCTCTGTTACAGGCACATTAGTTATAAAAAGCAGAACTGAATAATTAGCTCTGAAGTGTGGATTTGATGTGTGAGGAAATAGTTAACAGATCTTAGATTCTTTTACTTTTTGTGAAGTTATATTCATTGTAAGTTTATGTGAATACTAAGAGGGACAGATTTAAAGTAAACTTATTTTCTACTTTATTTCAGGTCAAGAGATTTTACGTGAAGAATTGAACAGACGATTTTTGTTGTCACAGGAGAGACCAACTTCATCCTTGATTGGTCCTCCACCGTATATGAAAGCAGACATTCATCAGCATCAACACATGCACCAACACCAACATCAACACACACATCAACACATGTATCCCATAATTCCACCATTTACTGCCGGGGCATTGATCCCAACGCCAGCTCCATTACCGGTAAGTATCTGTTCATTAGACTGTGGATGATGGTTCACTGAAATCACTTGGGGTCCTCAATGCTCTTCAACTTCTTACTTTATTTGGCCTTTATAACTCTTATGATTCCCGTGCACTGATGAGTCTTTTTGTAGACAAAACACGAGTCTGGCGTTCAAATTTTTTATCCTGATATCTATGATGGGTTTATTTGTTTGTTCATCTGTTCGTCTGCCTGTCCTCTATGATGAGTTTATTTGTTTGTTTATCTGCTTGTCTGTCTGTCCTCTATGATGAGTTTATTTGTTTGTTTATCTGCTTGTCTGTCTGTCCTCTATGATGAGTTTATTTGTTTGTTTATCTGTTTGTCTGTCTGTCCTCTATGATGAGTTTATTTGTTTGTTCATCTGTTTGTCTGTCTGTTCTCTATGATGAGTTTTTTTGTTTGTTTATCTGTTTGTCTGTCTGTCCTCTATGATGAGTTTATTTGTTTGTTCATCTGTTCTTCCTTCTGTCCATCCATTGGTGTGTAGCTTTCTTTACATATTACTCATCTTCTGTAAATATAATAGAAATAGTGAAACAGTGACGTGCAACTTCTTGTTTATTATTGGTACATGTAGAAACTTTTTACTTTTTGAGGTTCTTCAATTGATTTATGGTGGAAGATGTCTGTGTATAGCAATTTATAGGATATACTCTAGTATTATTTTTTTTGCCTGTATGATACTTTCAGATTCTGATAATTTCTTTTGAGTTGAATACATTTTTGGTTAATTACTGTTCTTAAGATGGTTGTTCCAAAGTTAAAAATAGAAAGAAGAGAAAACTTTTTTTCCATGATATAAGGACAAAAGTGAAAGTGTATTCCAAAACTACTGATATTATATAAAACAAATTTTGACATGTAAATGTAATATGCAAAAGCTACTTATCAGACAATATTGAAAAAGTCTTAGGAGAAAAATCTGTAGAATAACTGGAGTTAATAATTGCAAAACTATTCTGCATGGCAAGTGCATTTATTAAACGTATAGAATGATAAAAAAGAAAGGATATAGGTTATCCATCCATGACACAAAATCAGTTTATGAGTAGAATTGCTGCAATTTATACAAAATTTAATAAACAGTTTTACTTTAAGAAAACTGACTATGATAGCAGTAAATCTCATGACAAGACAATATAAATATAGACAACCCTGGAACATAAAATAATTTCAATTTATACATCATAATCATGACTAAAAGGTTAATCAGGCAAAAAAAATAATTAGTATTCTGGCTCAGAGAAATCATAATGCCAGCCAATTTACTCTAATAATATAGAACACATAACCTTTGCTATATCATCTGAGGCTTCTATATTAACACCAACCTAAAATGTCAGATGGGGAAAAAACATAACAAAAGCTGGAAATGTAATAAACAGTCTACAATTACTGATATGAGTCAAACTTATTATCGTCTGTAAGGCATGTTTGTTGATAGCAGGTTTTTTTTGCCAGGGGAAATATCTTTCCCATCTGACAAATATTACTTGTGATATTCACCATTCAGTAGCTATCTGTTTTATTGGCTCAATTGGTTCATGATATACCAGCGGAGCTACTTGTAAAAATAACTCCCTAATCAAACTGTCAACAGAGTTTATTGCCGTCTATATCAAGTTTTATACAATCCCACTTATCAGTTTCCTGTCTGATAACACGGCTCGTAAATTTCATAGGGGTTGAAACTGATTACCGAGGCTATCAGTGGATGGTTACGATTGGTTGATTAGGCTGACAAACAGGGTGTAAAAAATTGGAGAAGTGAAACATTGCCAGGATATCGTGATTACAGATAATTGTCATATAAATTCAAATTACAGGAATAATGACTTCCAATGATAATTTTTATTGACAAGATACAAGCCATTACAGAATTTAGTAGCAATTGGCATGGACTATTATGATAAAATATCCCTTTTTAGAGTCTGCCATCGATTACAAAAAATTTTAAGAGATACTCATCGATTTTGCTTTGTACAAAGGTGTGAAGCAAATTAAATTATTTTATCTTTTATGATCCATGAAAAATTGACTTTTTGTTATTTTTGCAGAAGTTATCTCTGCTTTGCTGGTTGCATTTCATGGTGAATTGGAAATTTGATTTTTGAGTATTTCTGTTCAATCTGATGCAAATTAGAAAAAAAAAAGGAAATGAATGATTTAATTTTTACACTGCCTTTCATCCGTTTTATCTGTACTTAAATGTAATATAGGGACAAAAGAGAAACTATTTATGAGAAGATATTGATTTCTGGGGTATTTATTTCTCTCAGGACAAATATGATACAGTAATATGGCACTAAACCCTATAAAATGTAATTTGATATGAAATATCTGAAGAATTCTTTTGACTTAATATAAAAGATAATTCTGCTATCCAATGTATATCTTTTGAAGGAAAAGAGGTCCTTTTAAGGAAATTTATGATTGTAAATTTTTTCAGAATAGAAATAGTTTTATCTTGTTTTGTTAAGTGATAGCTCAAATTCACAGCTGATTTAATTTAGGAAACAGTTATTTTGTAAAAATTTTACATGTTTAAGTAATATTTATTAACATTATAAACTGATAAATATGTAAAATAAAGATGTCCATTGACAAAGATCTTTATCCAGTTTTGTGTGATTCAAGCATTCAATGTACTATACACCAACCAGTCATCTTTGTATGGGGGCTTTGGTTGTTTTCAATAATGTACAGGAAAACGTTGTTTTTTTTCAATCTCTGCATTCCAGAATATCCCCTTTTTATGTTAAATGTATATGATTTTTAGTCTATAGTAAAATGTTTTATCTCTATGTACTTAGTACAAAAAGTTCAACACATTTGTTTACAAAAAATCATTTAATACGAAAGGGAAATTTTTTTTAATGAAAATGAAATGTCAGCCTTGTAATAAACCTTAAAGGATTTTTTTAGATGAAATTAAAAGATTTTATTTCAGAGAAATGGAAATGTCACTTCTTTTGTCATAAAAGTCATACACGGCTTGATAATTTATTTAAGAACCACAAAAGGCCACAATAAAATTTGTTTATATATTTTTTGTTTTTCTTTTGCAGGTCAATAAGTTTGGAGATTCTCCATTATATCGCAATGTAAGTACATGTACTTGATTTTGATGTAGATACATAATTTATGAAATGTTGGGAAAAGTGCACTTTTAACAATTAAAATGTCATTGAAAATTTATGTCGGGACTAGTGGTCTTAACATGTCATTGAAGACTTTATTTCGGGAATAGTGCACTTAACATGTCATTGAAGACTTTATGTCAGGAATAGTGCACTTAACATGTCATTGAAGACTTTATGTTGGGAATAGTGCACTTAACATGTGATTGAAGACTTTGTCGGGAATAGTGCACTTAACATGTCATTGAAGATTTTATGTCAGGAATAGTGCACTTAACATGTCATTGAAGACTTTATGTCAGGAATAGTGCACTTAACATGTCATTGAAGACTTTATGTCGGGAATAGTGCACTTAGCATGTCATTGAAGACTTTATGTCGGGAATAGTGCACTTAACATGTCATTGAAGATTTTATGTCGGGAATAGTGCACTTAACATGTCATTGAAGACTTTATGTCGGGAATAGTGCACTTAACATGTCATTGAAGACTTTATGTCGGGAATAGTGCACTTAACATGTCATTGAAGATTATGTCAGGAATAGTGCACTTAACATGTCATTGAAGACTTTATGTCGGGAATAGTGCAGTTAACATGTCATTGAAGACTTTATGTCAGGAATAGTGCAGTTAACATGTCATTGAAGACTTTATGTCGGGAATAGTGCACTTAACATGTCATTGAAGACTTTATGTTGGGAATAGTGCAGTTAACATGTCATTGAAGACTTTATGTCGAGAATAGTGCACTTAACATGTCTTTGAAGACTCTTAGTGAGTTCAACTAGTGAGGATAGAAATGAGGACTTAGAGAAATCTGCTCGATCTTGTACAAGTTACAAAATATATTAAAAAAAAACTAGTGTATTGCTGTTCTATAACTTAAACTTGCTGTTATAATCATGCATTCTTTAGGAAACTATAAAGTTTTAGTCTTGGGGAATTCCAAGGGTAATTAGGGTATAGAATAATCACAATCTGAACATGTTTCAAGTCATACTTGGGACATTTATGAGCAAGGTTGGAACTCACAATCTCAGAGTTGACAGGCTAGTGACCACTGTAATATGAATTTCCAATAGACCAAATGACTACTGAGGCTCCTCAGTGCTGATTGATTGTGTTTGGTTAACATTCTATTATGACTAAAACTATTTAACAAATCTGCTAGATAATGTACATAAATTCTGAAACTAACTGTAAAGAAAAAAATACTATCGCTTTGATGTGGACCCCATGTCTTAACAGTGTTATTTTAAAATATTGCTATTGTGTTTTTAAAAATTATTGCCTAAAGCTTACATGTCTTTTTATTTATTTTGTAGTTTGGTATGCCACCAGGTTATGCAGGATTATCTCCCCTGATGCCTCCTTCTGGAGGATTGTCGTCCACACTGACTGGAGCATTTCAGCCTAAGGTAAGGATTACTCTTAAAAAAGTTATTTTAAGAAAACATACATACATACAGTGAGTATTGTATCTATATTTAAAATGACTATGTACAGAGAGTTTAAAAATCATGGTGAAAAAAAATACTTTTTTTTTAAAAGTGGAATTGATTTTGATAGGTTTTTAATTATTATTATTATTATTATTATTATTATTATTATTATTATTATTATTACTCATTTCTACATGTAATTTATATTTTATGAATGTTTAGAGTCAACAGAAAAGAAATATTGCATGAAAAGCTTTGTTGTTAGAGATTTTTGTTGTTGTTAATCTTTGATATTAAGGAACTCCTTCTATCACAGTGCACTTATTTGTTTAATATTCTTAGGCAAAAAATTCATTAATGAAAATGTAGTTTACAGTATTGTGGTCAAATAATCTATTTCACAACATGGTATTTAGATGTACCGTTGCATAATTGGGAAGTTGGAAGTTTGGTTCATTGCACTTTTCTTTTCATCATTAAAACATTTCACAAAGAGTCAAAATAGAGCATGCAAAGTTTAATGCATACCTGTTAACCTCTCAACAATTTCCCTGAGGCAGTTTCTGCTTTTAAGTTTTCTCTGGGGGAAGTTTTGGGTAATATATCAGAAAATATTTGTAAATATAAAAAATGTTATGTTTGTTAATTTTGTTTGAAGTCAATTATAAACATATACCTTTTGTTTTCCACTTTGTAATGTTTTCTTCGCAATATATTTTGTAAAAATGATGACTATATATGAAAATTGGTCAATTTTAACTAAATAGATTTGTAATCTGAGATCTTGTACGGGAAATGCTAGCCTCCCAGAAGCAAATGTTTTATTGTTGGGATTCATAAGAGTAAAAAAATCTCCCCCTCCCCTGCTTTTCCCTCACCCAGGTGGTAAAGATTAAAAGGTACTTAATGGCTTTTTTATACTTTTATAGCCAATTGAACTTTGTAGTTAATTGACATTTTATTCAAAGGAATTTAATGTTTCTTCACATGTCTTTTTAAATTAATAATTCATCAAACACATAAACATGTAATATTTATTTGCTACGAGATAAACAAGCTGGAGAATGATTGAACTGAAGTTACTGTTTAACAAATTTTTTCATGAGCATTTAACGTTCACTTAAAGTGCAAATTCTGCATAAATATGCCATGAATTTGATTTATATGTAAGTCATGTGATTAGAATTGATATAACATACTGAGAGTAAACCCTTCTTATTTATGTACGAAAAAATTTCTTGAAAATTTTGTTGATGTACTGTAATTGGCTGTGTTTAGTGCGCATTTGTGAATAATACACCATAACTTTTGTTCTTATGTGAAGTTGAGTTTGTATGCTTTATTTTGTATATGATCATGTGTTTACAGAGGGTATCGACAGGGCTGCACCCTTCACAGATGCTGCACTCCCTACGAGATAGAGATAAGATCCCATCAGCTGCAACATTGCCTGCACAAAAAGTTAGTGTTTTATGCCTTATTAACTTTTCACCATTTGCACTAGTCTAGAACTATGTTACTCTTTGTTTAAAAATGGCATTGAAAGATTGTTACCTGATTTAGAATTGTACTCACGTTTTCATAGTCTGATAGAGTTTATTGTCTCTGTCATCAAATATTTGCGACTGGACATTTAATCATCAAATCTATTGTCTGTAATTGATTAAAGGACGTTTTCCTTTTAATCAATCAAAAGAAGCTCATTTAAGTACTGGCTATTCAGTAGTATTCATGGGCAACAATAACCATTTTTGATGGATTTTTATGTAGAATTTGTCAGTATCACACAATCTAATTTTCTCTAATAAAAGTTTTTCCTCAGCGGAAATTACTATCCACGAAAATTAGATGAATCCACAGTATCTGTCAGTCATTTGCATAAAATAGAAAGTAGTTCAATCTTAACTGTGAGACCAAGTGAGCAGAAAACAGTCTGAATTCTAACCAGCAAAGAAATTTTCAATGTTATTTTTAAACATAGTGTATCAGACGTTAAGATATATATATATGTGTGTGGTTCTATTAACAGTTATATTAAACTATCATGCATTAATTTGTTGTTGTAAATGGTATTTTACAACAATGCTTCTTACCCTATAAAATATTTTGATTGACGAAAATCTCAGAATAAATTCTCAATCTACTGTTCTTTTACGTGTAAAATGTTTGTACCCTGTTTCATTTATTATTGATGCATATAAAAACCTTTTTCAGTCATTGAAAATTACATGCTTATAAATCAATCATTTGAAAGCATAGCAGAAATGCTAAATTTTCATTGTTTTTAAAAATATGGCAAATATTTAAATTTCATTTTGAAAATTAAATTTGGATATTGTTATTTGGGTTGGGTCAATCAAAAAAGTTTATGTCAGCAAAAATGGCATTAAAATGACCATTTCTACTTGCTAAGAAACCTGACATGTAATGCATTTGGTTAAAGGTTAGAAGCACTGGATGTAGTACGTTTTAATGTTGTAAAAAATGACTGGTATAAACTGTGAGCATGTAACATCAGTTTGAAGTCTATAAAAAAAGTTCTGTACAAATTAGTTTATGAAGTGTATAATGTCAGTTTTTTTTTAAGGATTGTAAATCAGTTTATTAAGTATAATACATGTTATTTAAAGATAGCATGTTAAAATGGAGATTTTTCATTATCACTGTTTTCAGGTAAAATTATATCCAGCAGAAATTTGATACTAATTATTTATTTAAATTAATCGCAAGACTTCCAATATATAAGGTTTAATGTACATAATTTGACAGGTTTGTCTTCATCTGAATGTTCATAGTGAAAAAAATTGGGAACTAAAAACTGTTTTAATCTGAAAATTGAAAATCTTTTAACATTTTATAGATTGATTTACTAAATCATATGGTTATATGCTAGCTAGCTTTAGAAAATACATTTTGCTTCGAATATACCAAATGCTGTAATTCTTATAAAAGGATGGAAAACCAGAATGGAGAATTTGTAATATATTGACAATGACATAAGCCAGCCACAATTCTTTGGAAATTTGATATTTCTTTGTGCTTCAATTTCATAGGTTTATTGAACCAAAATTTCCTTTTTGAAATGCAGTACTGTTAGATTACTAAAGAAATTATTCCATTGAGGTTGGAAAATAGTATTAAAATCCAAATGAAATACAGTTCTTTGAGGATTTCCACATATTGACCTCATTTAAATATAAATAAAAGAAGATCATGGGGAAGACCTTACTGAATGAGACAAAAACCCAACCACACATACAACTAAAAGACATCTAGAAGGCTAAATACTGTCTAATAGTCAGGTGTCTATACAATATGGCATGCTCCAATTTGTCTAAAAAATGTTGTGAATAAATTAAGCTTAAACTATCGAAGATTTGCCATCCACACAAAATTATCAAATGAAAACTTTTCTAGGCTGAATATTATATTGCTAAATCCATGTCTCAAATTTGTATACTATCTAATTGATACTGTTTTTAAGGTAGGCAATATTTTATTTGCAATCTGCATTTGTAATAATTGAAGAGTTAGAATGCAGAGAATCCAATATGGTTGCCCACTTAAAGTATATTCAATAGATATGATTTGAATTGAATGCACACAAATAGCCAATATAAAAACATGTTACATAGGTGTATCAATATACTGATTTAACTGGATTTTTGTAAACTGTCATTGTTGCTTGTGATAACACATCATTCTACATTGAAATGCAGTCCTTTAGGTACTGTTGAGATACTTTTATTTTGGAAAGTTATTTTGGTGAAAAAAAAATCATCTTAGTGTTTTATTTAACAATATTTTGAAAATCCTGAATTTTAGTTTGTTGTTAAGCATGTTTAGATGTAGTTTGAATAATAAAGTTCTGGTAGAATAAAATTCTAATATCTTCAGGAAATGTATATTCTTATTGTTGGGGACCAGTTGAGTTTATATATTTACATCTACTTTTTACAGAAGCCAGGTAAATGGAATGCAGTCCATGTACGGATAGCATGGGAGATCTACCAGCATCAACAAAAACATATAGAGTTACAGAAAGGGCAGGAAGGGAAATCAATGGAGCCGTTACGACCTCCAAGTCATCTCTTCCCAGGAGCTTCTTTGCATAGACCCACAGATCTGTCTGCCTCCACGGGACTCTTGTCTCAAGGTTTGTGTTTTTCTGGTAAGAAATTAATTAGCATCTACTAGTTATTCCCTCTAACATCTACTAGTTATTCCCTCTGTTACTGGGGATTCATGATTATTCATTGGGTACTAATAGACTATTTTTAATTACCAACTTTTGACTCCAGAGTTTATAATTTTTTGACAGGTTACTTACTCTGTGGTAATACATTCTGATACTTGGTCAAGTAAGAGCAACTTAAAGAAGTAAAATCAAGTGCAATTTAGGGAAAAAAATTAACTATTTTCGGATGATTTAGTTGTGTATAGAACACATAAAACAGTTATTTTTTCCCCAATATTGCAGATTTAATTGAAAATTTCAAACTCTATAGTCAAAAATCGCTAATACAAGAATTCAAACACTCAAAGTAATATAAATTTTCTACTTTTCCAGTTCAATAGATAAAGTATCCACAAAAATTAGTATCCATAAAGATAAATGAATCCACAGTTTGTTTGGTGGGAAAGAATTTTGTACTTTTATTTAATAATGAATTATCGTTATTGGTCAGTATTTTGGACTTCTTGTCTCGTATCGAAAGACTAGATTTGATGTCCTTACAGTCAAAAATTGCTAGATAATACATAAAAAGGTATTGCCAAAATACTGTAAAGTACAACTGACCACATCAATCATCAACACCTTACTTATATACAAACAGAGACAAATAATAACAACATATTACACAAGTTAGTCTGACTTAGTACAGGCACAAAATGAAGCGTTAGACCAGTTTTACATTCACAGAAATGTAAACATAGATGTCAGCATTTGATATAGTATATGAGCACATATTTTTATGTTTATTAATTTGCCAATCAAAGCTTTAATAATTTTGAATAAATACAGAGCATGTTAACAATATTCCAAATAGACATCTCATTCTTATATATGAATGCCATTCTGTAAAAACAATGTATAAAATTCACATTTGTTTTTGAAAGTGTGCAGAAATATTAATGTATCTTTTCAGAGAATTAATATGTAGCAAAAGTAATCATGGAAATGGAAGTTTGCATTTCAAATTTAAAATCTAAATTGAAAATTGTGTTATTTTACAGTCTAAGGGGAGATAACCACAAGATAAAATATAAGTAGCTTTTATGATAGTATACTTTAATGGGGTTCTTCAAGAAAAAGTTATCTGAAAGTCTTTGAAGGAACTTGCATATACATTTGCTATGGTGGTTGATCTAAGAACATATTTATAGCAATAATTTACATATATGGTAAACAAAAATCTTGGCCTCTGAAAAAATGACTTCAAACCGACATATATAATTTTTTTTCGAAACAGCCAAGAGTAAATAAATTTCTTTTAAAAATTAAACGAAATATTAATAAGAAAAAATAGATTAGTTACAATTACAAATATTTAAGTTTCTTGTAAAGTTTATAATTTTATACAAATGTTTATTGCAGGTTCTCATGGCAGAAATAGTCTAGAACAGCCTGGACATAGTGGCTTCCTGAACCCAATGCACTCAGGTAAGATATGTAATATTTCTTTTAATTTCATTTCCGTACCATAATGTAACAAATAAGCAACAAAACAAAAGTTCTGCAACAAGAACTGAATTTGTACATGTGCAATGAAGAGGGTCTGTACATAATTTTTACGAATAAAAGGAGATGTGGGGTTTATGTCAATGAGGCAGCAACCAAATGTTAAGAATAACCAAAGCCGTCTAGAGGTCATTTAGCTTGTTACCTGACTACCTGACAAGAGTCAAAGATTTGATTAAATTCTCTTTGACAAATAGTTTTCTAAAAAAAAGTCGAAAGATACCAAAGGGACATTCAAACTCATAATAAGAAAATAAAATGACAACGACATGGCTAAGAAAAGAAAAAGTCCAACAGACAAACAACAGTACACTTAACAAAACATAGAAAAGACTGAGCAACATGAAACCCACCAAAAACTGGGGGTGATCTCAGGTGCTCCTTAAGGGTAAGCAGATCCTGCTCCACATGTGGCACCCGTCGTGTTGCTAATATTAGTACAATCCTGGTAATAAGTCCTATTCAGTAGGTCACATTCGGTGAAAAGGGGACAGGATTGTAATTACGACAATTGGAACATATTCATTGTCATCTGTGAAACAGATATTCCATAACGTTCAAATGTTTTAAAATGATTTAAAAAAAATATAGTAATTCTCATAAGTATGATTGCAGCTGTTGCATTGCATTTGTTTATAGGTGAATAGTTAACATATTTTTGGTGATACAAAAATGTATTCACATACATATGGATATTAAATTACAAACAAACAAAAATCTTCATTAAAAAAGAAAAATCAAAAGTAAAAAAAGTAGATGGAAGACCTAGATGGAACAATCTTTCCTTCACACAAAATTAATGCAGTAATAATTAAACTGACCTTTCAATTACAGGTGCTTCCCCATTTCCAAAACCATCACCTTATTCCATGTCAAACCCTCTTGGTTTTGGAGGATTGGGTTCAGCATCTGGGGCATTTAGTGGGCGTGACATGCCAAATGTTCCGGGACTGACGTCACCTCACGATTGGAACCGTTTACATCGGACTCCTCCAACATTCCCTGGTGTCCAGGCAGCCTCCTGGAGTAAACGGGAAGATGGGGAGATTGATCGTGGTGACAGGGGACCAGAAGCAGGTGTTTTAGCATTGGACAGAAGACGGGAAGAAGACCGAGAAAGGTAAATATAGAAATCATGAGAAATAATTAATTATATTATTTCTGTTGTTGATAGTTTTCTCTCTTCATTTGATTGAGAAGAATTGCAAACAATTTTTTTTTTTTTATTTAAGGATAATTTAGGTAGCAACCCAACAACACAAATAATCAAAAGATAACCTGAGAGGTTTACACACTGTCTTCAACAATAGGTTTCTAACAACAGGGCAAGGTCTGAATCTCACTGAGTTTAAAAAGGTGTGAATACATTTGACAAAGATCATCCTTCAATTAAATACAGGTTTAGAAAAATGTGAATTATACAAAAGTAGGAAGATATTTGATGTAAAAATATTGATTTTTATTATATCCAATGCATACTGATTTTGCTTGTCACAGCAGGTAAGCTGGATTTACAAAAAATACATGTTCTATTATATATATAGATTTTCAAGAGTTGTTTTTTTTTCACATATTGAATGAACTGTTGAAATTGATATGCTTGAATAAATACTAATATTTTAGTAGCTAGTTCTGTACATACATATTATAGAAATCACTGATTAAACATAAGGTCAAAATTGGAAAGAGTTCAATAACCTATATATAGCTACATACAGCAGGACAGTACATATATTTGTTTTATGAATCTATGCAGATCTAACATTGTTGGCCTTAATTTGAGACGGAAGTATATATAGATTATGGTGTAAGCCCTGAATAACCACAGGTTATCTGATGGAGAACGCCTGTTGTAAAGTTGTTACATATTAAGACATATATCCTGATATATATAAGAAATATACAGAACAGACTGAAGTGCAGACAAATTAGATAAAGAATAAATAAGGAATGAAATTAAACACCATCTAAAACAGATAGAACAGAAAAATACATATCTAGTTAGAAATTGATAGTTCTTTAATAAATATTTGAATTAAATAATAAGACATTTATTTTTTATATACTTTCAGGGAGAGAAGAAATGGCGAACACGACAGACGGGTTAGTTTAGAAGAAAGGAGTAGAGAAAGAGAGTTATCTTACATGAAAGATGCACATGCATCAAGGTCTAGATCTAGGTCTAGGTCACCATTACAAAATGGCCGTGTTGGTTCTGCCAAATCTGATAGTAGCTATGAAAGAAGATTTGACGATAAAAGTGGACTTAAAATTAAGCAGGAACGTCGTGAGGAGGATTTAATTCTTCATGCCGAAAGGGATAAACTAAGAACAGACTATTTATTGGGTCGTTCCCAAGCAGTTAATCCAATGAACTTCAGCATGTTGGATCGTGCTAGACTTTTAGGGGCACCGTCCCCATACATGTTTGGTGACCGTGTGCCACCCCACCCTGCATTATTAAGTCAATATGATAAAAGTCCATTAGAAATGAACTTAGGTCAGCATCAGTTTCAGCTCCAGCGGGATATGGAGAGGGAGCGAGAGCGAATGCTGAGCCGAATTCAACATCCGTCATTGTTTGATCCGGAACAGTTACGAAAAGAAGAACTTTTTTTACAGGATGAAAGAGTGAGAAGAGACATACTAGAGAGATTGCCATTTTATGATTCACAAAGACTTGCCTTTGAGCAAAGTAGATATCCACATTTACGTCCTCCAGATCCGCTGTCGGCACACTTTCCAAGGACAATTAGCCCGATGATAGCGCATGCAAAAGGGGGTTCCCCTGCCGGATACCCTCCTCCTTTAATACCTTCCTCTAGTGCTACTCAATCTCGGACTCAGTCTCCTGCCATTGGGCGGAGCAAACCTAGTGCAACAGAGACTAATGACAAAAGAGATAACTATTCCAATTCAAATGATCCAGGTGTTCACAGCAGATAGGAGTTATCTCCCTTAGAATATTGTTGTAAAAATATTGTAAAGATGTAATCTGTGCTTTAAAAGCAGAAATGTGATCTCATTGGCAGCTATTATTTTTCATTTTTTTTTTTTGGTTCCTTCTGAACTACGACAGTCCCAAAATTACTACTGTATACATTGTCCAAATTTATAATGGAATTTTTTTTTTCATAGTTGGCATATAAAATTTTCCATAGTAACTTTGGCCTGAATATAGATATAGTTGGCCAATTGCAGAATACAGCAGGGGTTCAAAATTGCATTATATACATGCAGGACAATTTCAATTTGAAGTGAAAGGTAGTCCTTAAAAATGTCCTTTATAAAGCATCAGTGTAAAGAATAGGAGGTACTTGACTTAATGGAAAGTCCCCTCCCAGAAAAGACAGGTCCAAGACCTCATGGACCCACACTAATGTGAAACCCTGATAACATAAAGAGATTTAAAAGAATTAATGTGTTGACATTTTGTTGATTTTATTTTAGAAACAAATGCAAAAATCAATACCTAGCTGATCAGATGAATTTAAATTATTCTGCAATTTGTCAAACAAATCAAAGAAATAACTCATCGGACATGCTAATTCCATTTATTTAAATTGATTGTACATTGTCTTATCTAAAACATTGCTGAAAATATACATATGTTGGAGTAAAGAGGGAACTAGAGGGTATTAAGATGATTTTTTTCTGCATTTCCACGTGCATTTAGGTATGTCATGAAATGTAAACATTAAGCATATATACTTTATATTAACTGAATGAGTAGGAATTTTCTACTAAAAAAAGATTATTTCCAAGGTATTTGTTTCACATATAAATGTATAGATCATTTTAGCCTGTCACTTTTTTGGTAGGTTTACTTGTTTGCAAGGTGCACTTGATTAATCAGCAACTTAACTTGTTGGCTAGATGCACTCGATTAATCAGCAGTCTGATATACAGAGATTTTTTAGATACTTTTCAAGACACATTGTTGAACACTTGGCATTACATTTTTCTACATCTTTAAAACCTGACTTTCATGAAATTCTTTGAAAGTGTAGAAAATGGTATTAAAACACATACAAATAATTAATAAATTTTTTTAATACTTTTTGATATTTCAAATTTGTCTGGTAGTGAATAAGTTTGATTATTTGGTTATGATTTTGTCTGTTAGGTAATGTCAGCTTATTTTTTCTTCACAATGGGTTTTGTCTTAAACCAACACACAATATATATTTGGAATATTTTTACTTCATGTGATAAATTTTTAGTTCAAAGGTACACGTACCATTTTTCGAAATATTTATTTTTTGCTTTACTGGAAGAATATTTTTTGATGTACTAAAGTTTAATTATACAGTTTGTGAATACAGTTTTCTCTATTTGAATCCCATTGTGTCTTTTACAAATTTTTGACTGGCTTTTACAGGGAAGCCAGTTACAGAGGCAAAAAAGCAAAGGGAATTTTGTTGAAATTTTTAAAACTCTTTAGAAAATCATTTATGCTTCTTTTGATTACGCTCTCAAATGCAGGGATAGCCTACTTCTTGTTGAATTGTTATGTGGAAACAGTCTAAAAAATATTGATCGGATTCATTTTTAGAAAACAGCTATTGCAATTTATTTACAAAAAAAATCACACACTGTAGTTATCTTTCTATTTTCCACTTTTCAATGGAAAAAAATGATTTTTTTTTTTAGATTGGCCAAAAACAAGGTGACATTGATATTCACTTTAATAATTGTGTATGGTAATTGTATGGTGTAGTTGTATTGTAAAATTACTCAAGGGAAAACAGATTTAAAAATCAAGAAACAAACAGTTTTACTATGACCTTTGTTTTGTTTTGATTTTATGTGGAAAACTTCTCTTAGTACCCTTCATTTACCTGTTTTCTATTCCTTAAATAGATTTATTTTTTTTTAATCATCTAAAATATTCTAGCATCATTCCTATAAAGTCTGTTTGTATATATATGCAGGTAGAAATTTCTGGTTTCTGACAAATGCAGTTCTTGTTTTCACTTGAAGATTGTACATGCTATTTCAAAGCTGATAAAATTTCCATTTACACAGTTTTTAGTTAAATATTGCCTGACAAACTCTAGATGATTGGAAGAACAGACAAAAAAAAGTTGTGACAAAATTAAATTTCTGTGAAATATGTTATTATTTGCATATTAGCAAAATTTCTTTTTTCTATCTATAGATATTTTGTGCTCTTCAAATTTGTACTTGATTTGACCTTTAATCTTTTTTTATTTGAGTGTCACTAATGAGTCTTTTGTAGACGAAATATGTGTCTGTCTCGCATACAAAATTATAAGCCTGGTATCTATGATGAGTTTATTTTGTAACATAACCATGTGTAAGGTATCTTTTGACCTCTAAGTTTTGGAATTTAAATGTACTTTGTTAAAAGTTTGATAATATACATCATCTTTCTATCTTTGTTCCTTATTGTTCATCATCTTGTCCTGACAATTTGGTCACTGATGGATGATTAGTTTTGCCTTTATGCATTTTGGATTTTTTTTTCACAAAATTTTTTTACAACTTTAAATTTTTTCACTTTTTAGCAGAAATCCTTTTAATAATTCCAATTACTTTGGTTTCTTGATTGATTGATTGTTGCCATGTTAACATCCAGTGGTCAATTTTTTTGATTTGCTAATGCCATCATGAATTTCCATTCACATGCCGTAGGTAAATCAACCCCATATTTCATATTTTTCAATATAAAGTATCAATTTGTGAAAGTTTATAGCATAAAGTGTTCTTTTCCAATGGCACAGTCAAAAATTTCCCCGCCGTTTATCCTAGTCAATCAACTTTCACAACCTACCGTTTGGTTTGAAAGTAAATTAGTTCTTCTTTAAAAAAAAAATTCAAATATTTGCCACTGGTCATTCAGCAAACCACAATCAATCAAACAACATTAACTGTACATCTTGAAAAATAAACAAAATATAAATTGTAAATCGGAAGAAATAAACAAAGTATAAATTGTAAATCTAAAGAAATAAACAAAGCATAAATTGTAAATCTGAGGAAATAAACAAAGCATAAATTGTAAATCTGAAGAAATAAACAAAGTATAAATTGTACATCAGGTTTAGTGCATAAAGGTTAAATTGTACAAGTTACTGTGTAGATAATATGGTATTATTGCAATATTGTAGAAATGATCTCATTCATTCCTCATTAATTTGTATTTATTTATTCGTCACAGTGGGTGTTTTAATAATAGCTTACATTTATATTTATTTTTGCATCACCTCATTATTTGAAATCATTGATTTTCATTTAAAATTGAATTATGCCAAATATTTTAATTTGCAGCTTTCAAAAAAGTATGGAAAACTTATATTCAAGGGCTATATGGACGTGTTATGGGCGATTGTGTTAATACTTTATTTAGTACCATGGTGTGTTAACGAAATAGCACTTATGAATTATTCTAATGTTGCATGACATGTTATCTTAATTTAATTTTGTTATTTTACGTCTATCGAAAGGTCAAATCAACCATATGGAGTTAATTTAAATATTTTTTGTTAAAGTTGTATGAATATAACTTATACAGCACAAAGTGCTTTTAACTTTTATTAAAACGCATTAAAAGTATACCTATACATTTTGGTACTAAATCCTAAAATACTTTTGAAATTTTTATCTAATCTACAAAAAAATCTATTTATGGTGATTATAAATTATGACTAAGTTTTGTGTGTTGGTGTATTCTGTATGTCGCTGGAAATGCATTCTTAGACATTTATATTTTGATTTTTAATAATAGCTGTTACAAAGATTTTTAAATAGTAATGAATTTTTTAAAGACTCTTAGATTTTTTTTTATTTTGATATGAATTAAGATGTAACTTATTAAGTATATATAATATAAATATATGTATAAATAATACAATTGAAATGAACTTTTTTGTACAAAAAATCCAAAGATTTTGATGCAATATATTATTATTATTATTATCATCATTGAATGGTGAAACGTGTCAAGGACATGTGTCACAAAATATGTATGTTTCTATTGAAAATAGAAATAATAAATTATTCAAAAAATCAAATTTGTTTTGTTTTTTAAAATCAGAAAATTTATGTATTATAACATTGAGCACCATTTTCTAATGCAAATGGTTGTTTCCCTTTGTGAGTTATTGCCATCTCATGTCATCAGCTGCATGTTTTCCATACAGTTTTAGCTCACGCTGTCTCCCTTTGTGAGTAAGTGTCATCATTTGGTGTTGCCATTCAATTGTTTTAGCTCATGCAGCTTTACCCATTGTAGATATCTTGATATTACATTGCATTTAAACTTACCCAGATATCCTTATTGCCTAAATAGATTTAGATACAGAATACAATTCAATTAGACAGCAACCCAGAAAATATATATATGTTTTGTTTTAAATACAATATCTGATGTTCCTGCTAATCCATCAATAAAAAGGACAACAATAAAAGCACAATGACCCTTTGATGTGGTATTTTGTCGTTGTCGTCGTCGTCCGAAGACACATTGGTTTTCGCACTCTAACTTTAGTTTAAGTGAATGGATCTCTATGAAATTTTACCATCAGGTTCAATACCACAAAAGGAAGGTGGGGATTGATTTTGGGGGTTATGGTACCAACAGTTAAGGAATTAGGGGCCAAAAATAAGCATTTTTGTAACTTCCAGACATAACTTGTGTGTTAGTGTATGGATCTCTCTGACATTGTACCACAAGGTTCCATATCACAAAGGGAATGCTGGGATTGATTTTGGGGGTAATTGCCTCCAAATTTTAGCAAAAAGGGGCAAAAAACAAGCATTTTTCTAGTTTCATTACAAAAACTTGTGTGTAAGTGTATGGATCTCTCTGACGTTGTACCACAAGGTTCCTTATCACAAAGGGAATGCTGGGATTGATTTTGGGGGTAATTGCCTCCAAATTTTAGGAATTAGGGACCAAAAAGGGGCAAAAAACAAGCATTTTTCTAGTTTCATGACAATAACTTGTGTGTTAGTGTATGGATCTTTATGAAATTGTACTACAAGGTTCCATATCACAAAGGGAAAGCTGGAATTGAGTTTGGGGGTAATTGGCCAAAACGTTTAGGAATAAGGGGCAAAAAATAAGCATTTTTGTAGTTTCCAGACAATAACTTGTGTTCAAGTGTATGGATCTCTCTGAAATTGTACTGCAAGGTACAATACCACAAAGGGAAGGCTGGGATTGATTTTTGGGGTAATTGCCTCAAAATTTCAGGAATTAGGGG